TGTTCTCTTTCTGTGTATATGATACTTGCCAGGAAAAAGTATCAAATCGTCCTTAACTCTCCTGATAATACCATGCATGTCCTAAGGCCTGCACTAATGTATTGTAGGGAAACTGACTTTGTTGTTTTCCCAGTTTAGTGGTAGGAATGGAACTTTGGAAGTTGTCCATCCTTGGTGTGGATGGTGGATTTTGATCTGTTTGACATCGCATCTGTGGTGTATTTTGTTTATTTTTATTTTGACAAAGTTAACATTACTTTCATTAAATCTAAAGGAGCAAGGCTCCAAAATTACATGACGGAAAAATAAAAAAATACAATTCTCTACTTCAAAAAGTAAAATCAATTAATTAAACTAGTGGTGCATGTTGCTCTTGTTTAAAGTGGGGGGCCGTTGCTAAATTCTCTTACATGTCGCGAACATAACATCTAGAGTTCTATTTCTATAGGGTCTCGACCTAATATTCACTAAAAAAAAAAACGAGAAGGAGAAAAAGAAGTAAGGACTTTTGTGTTACCTCCCTTCCTGTATGTGGCTCTAAAGACATGAAAGTCGTGTCTATGTTGCAAGGTATTCCATTGTCAAAAGGTTCTCACCATGGGAAAAAAGCTGCGGTCGTGGTGGCACCCCAACACTTTAGTCACTATGTTGTGGTTATTATTGCTTACCTCTTTTTCTTCTTTTTCAAAAAGCTAACTCCTAATTTACCAGGAAAAATGGGTAAAGTCTGTCTTCCTCACTGAACTACTAAAAAAAAAAAGAAAAAAAAAAAAGGGTTTCACGAACGTATTTTTATTATAGAGAAGGTTCTTGAATCGCCACTTAAGAGGTTGTTGGGGTACTATTATAGAGAAGATTCTTGAATAGCCACTTAAGAGGCTGTTGGGGGTACTATTAAGGAAACTTGCAACCGGGACTCAAATGTGATATCGTTTAGAACTTTCCATTTAAATGCAGTTTTTGTGCTTGTCTGGAGAAAAATATAGAGGCAAATTCCTTAGCCAAAGGTGTGCTTGTCTGGAGAAAAATATGGAGGCAAATTCCTTGGTCAAAGGTGTCACAATGTCCTAAATCAGTGTAGTGCGGCCACTTTTGACGCACTATAAAATCTAATATAGATGAAACTTGATTATGTATATCACCATCATCATCATCTGAGTTTTATTTCAATTATTTGGAATCGGCTACATCAACTTCTCTGTTTTTCCATTTCCACTTTATGAACAGTTAAATCCTCATACCAAGAAAATCGATTGTGTAAATGACTCTAAACATGAGTCTTATAATCAATGAAAGTAAAAGTGGGCAATAAAAAAGAACAAATGTAGCACTGCTGGTGGATGGCATACTTTTCCCCCTGAAAATTTATTGGTTAAGGATAGTGCATGGTAGGTTGGCTACGCCATATGACTTCTTTGCATGAGGAAAAGTTTCTTCAAGAGGGAGACAGGTCCCTTAGGGAATTGTCAGAATTTGGAGTTGGCCTAAGAACCATGTTAGGGTACGCAGTGTGTCCATTCATTAGGACACTAGTTGGCTTCTACAACGTGTTATAGCCGACCTCCAGTTTTATAAGTTCCCAAATCAGGATAACCCTTTGAAGTAAAATATTAAATAAACAATCATTCAATAAATCACAAGCTGTTAAATTACTAAAATACTCTTATCAAACCTTTCTCGAGATCGGTATTGTAAAATCATATAATTTCTCTCTCTATAAAACAGGTCCCTCCCTCTTTTAGCTCCCCCTAAGCTCCCTAAGACTAAAGGTGGTACCGCTTAGATTCAAAGGTGGGTGCCCCTTTTATCATTTGTACGAAGCATCAAGCGTTTTGTGTTATCTTTGGCGCGCTGAATCGTCTCTTCACCGAAGAAGAAAGCTGCGTTTTCTTCGGGCCCAACAAACTACAGGTCGAAAGCAAGAAGCAACGACTAGCTCAGAGCAAAAACCGTTACGTTAACACGTATCCATTTTCTCACCTTGAGTTACACTGAATTCTCTTATCACTAAAGAAGAAAGGGCGAGCTCTTTGCCACCTTTTGTTCTCAGTAGAAGAGGTTTTCTGTCTTTAGAAGAGCGTCATTGTGGTGCCATTTTTTGCAACAATTGAAGCACTGGTACGGTAGAGCAATTGTTCTCATTAGAGAAAACATAAGGGGCAGTTCTGCCTATTTTTTTTGCTCCAAAGCCCTGGGGCTTTTGGGCGGTGTGCCTTTGTCACAATTCAGAACCTCAACTCTGTTTTGCTGGAGCGCCAACCATCGGATATTTGATCTAAAGAGTTGGGTATTTTCGCTAATTAAAAGAAAATTATTACGGCCATTTTCGTCATCATGATGTGCCTCTCACTTGTTCACCTAGGTTGGCACGTGCTTGCCCTGATCCTCTACACGTGCTTCTTCCTACCCCACATTTACGTCCTTGATTTCATCGCCAACCTCACATCACCAAAGCGATGCATGCAACGGCCAGCGTGCCTCCATGTGTCATGCTCGGATGAAGCCATGGTGGGGTCTCTTGCCTCGTGGGAGGAGGACAACCACGTGATGAAGTACGGAGAGAAGGTGTGGACGGTGGATTCGACGTGTAGCGTTTGTTTGGGTGAGTTTGGAGAGAGAGAAGAAGGGGTCACCAGGCTTAAGGCATGTGGCCATGTGTTCCACGTGGCATGCATCCAACGGTGGTTTCAGCTCGATAGATTCACCTGCCCCCTTTGTAGGGTCATCTTCTTTAGGGTAGATCAAAGGGAATTGTGCACTTGATATTTCTTTTTTTTTTTTGAGACATCTTATAATTTTTGGATTAGCTTTTTATTGTATTGTAATTTGTAAAAATTGAGATTGTTGATTCTAAATTATAAAGCTTCTTAGTTTTCTAATGAATTGGTTTTATATATTAGCATAGATATAGATGAGAGCATTATTTAAAAAAACTGACCAGATCAACCGGTTTGGTCCAGATTGGCTATCTGGTGATCTGAAATGGTAAATGCGACTAATTCTCTTGTGTGAAAAATAAATAATAATTCTAATTTTATGAAATAGCAAAAATAATTAGAAGAAGAACAAGATTTTCGAAGACTGAGATTTAAATGGTACTTCAAATTTATCGACACGGTTTCAATGAGTCCATGAACTCAATGCGGGCCCCTTAATAATTTTTTTTTTAAATAGAATTAAACTTTTAAAAAATATATAATCTTTAACATGTAGATTATTAATCTGTAAAAATAAATAAATTTTAAAAACTAAAAATGATATTTTTTAAAAAAAATATGTAAATGGGTGATTTTACCTGATTTTACTTTTTTTTTTGGAGGACTATTAATTATGGTGTAGATCTACACTTTTTTTTTTTTTTTTGGTGGATAGTGTAGATCTCCAAGCCCGCATAGTAACAGGTGCGGGCTTGGACGCACCAAAGAATTAAAAGAATCCAATATAAACATGGAGATAAAATAATCCTACTAGTAAGTCAACTACGTGAGCGAGCGAATGTAAATTTTGTAAACATAAAAAAACACAATGTTAGAGAGCGAATGCAAATTTTGTAAACATAAAAAAAAACATTTTAAACAAATGGAAACAATTACAAGGCAAAGAAAAGAAAATCTTTCATGGTAAAATACATAAGAAAAATATTTGGCCTAAAAATAAAACCCAAATCCTTAAAATCTAACCCATTCAAAAAAACCCAAATCCTTTAAGCTTAAACAAAGTATGAAAATATTTTGGAAATATATGTGTTGAGTAGCTTCGGTGATATTTGATACTTGGACAGATTTTTCAAAGACGAATCCCAACGTTTTAAAAAAGTACGAAAATATATCTCTTGAATAGGTTTGGTGGGATTTGATACTTGGACAATGCAGATCAGATTTTTCATCTTTGAAAAATATTAAGACAGCAAAGGATGCTACGTGTAAAGGATCTCCAAGATCTTTGCATACAACTAAGAGATATTCACAATGAATACTGTAAATGCTCGCTTGCTCTCTCTCTCTCCAAAACCAGCTAAGCTTTCCCAACATTTTTAGCTATGATGCCCTGGCCAAACCCCAACAATAAGGCCCGGTCAGGATGGGCTTTTAATAAATGCATGAAAGATTTAATTTTAAAAGCTTTAGGAAAAATTTCAGGGCAGGCATGGCCCAAAATGCACCAGGCCTCCCAAAGCTCCGCCTGAACCTAGCTCCCACTGCGCCTGTTCCAGTCCGTTAACACTCCTAACTCTCTAGCCATTAGATGTGAAATACGAGCAGCACAGGGTATAAATGTTAGCTGCTCTGAAGTCTAAGAAGACGTTCCAACCATCCATTTTATACGTGATGGCTTAACGTGTTTGGACATTTTGTGTATGAAAGGTGACTGATGATCCCTTTTACATATACGGTAGTATACACTATTGTTTTTTAAAATTTTACACTGGCAACAGACTTTGTCAAACGGGTATCCTACAATTGAATGATGAACACCTGAAATTGTCTCTCCTACTTTCAAGTAAACGACTCAATTTTACAAAAGGTAAGCATCATATGGGTCCTCATATGCATATAGGTTATATGTATCAACATCCATTTGATCTTTGACTCAGATGGTTGGCAGTGAGTCGATAACAACATCAACTTGACAACAATTACCAACACTTATATGCAACATTTTTATCAGCTCGCCGTCTGCCATCCAACAAGCAAGCTTTTACAGAAGTCAAACAAATAAATTTTTATTCAATGACAATATTGTAATGTTCATTGTATCAAGATTTCTCATGTACTAAGAAATTCCCTTGGCCTTAATGGTCCAAGTCGGCAGAGCCACAACATGACATCAATGGTTCCATCCTACCCTATGTTCTACATTGATTAACAATGTGTACACCCCAGTTCCGATGCTTCTACATTATCATTTGTCGAAATTGCCTCTCTCTCTCTCTCTCTCTCTCTCTCTCTCTCTCTCTCTCTGTGCTCCCTTGTGATTGAATATTCTTTTAGTACACCAGGTTATCACGAAATCATGCATATTTCAATACAATAGCAAGATGAATATGATACAAGCCACTTCCTTAAAGAAAATTCATTTACAGTCATCGATGTACAAGAGACGGAAACTCTTATTTGGATTAGTGTACATAGGAATATAATGGAATTTATTTTATGAGAGCATCTTGTACCAATGAATCACCAAGAGCAGAGATCAAAACACAGCTGCTTCCTTGTCATCCCACTGTACATCCAAATTTTTGTTCTCTGATTCCTTACCAATTAATTCAAGAGGAACATCCAGTTGTGGTGGTTTCTACAATTAATCAAAGCTAGAAGGTGAGAAGTTGCAGTCAAACTAAAAATATAAGGTAGTCTACATTCTACCCTATTCCAAATGTGACAGGAGCCATAGTTGCAACAGTAATCATAGTTTAAAACATATAATTATGGGAATGACTTTTATAAACCAACAAGCTTAGAGCTCCAGTATAAGTTGAGGTCCAAAATGCATAGCTAGAGGGATTTTTTTTGGGCTCAAAATTTGAGTAACATCTTTGATTTGAGAAATAAACAAATTTTCAAAAAAATTTAATTTGAGCTCTTGAAGGCTAGATTTACCATCCATCAAATATGCGTTCACTGAAAATAGCAGGCTCATTTTTTATTTTGACCGACCAGATAAGATCTACATGTGGGCAAACTTTGAGGTCGAATAGACCTCTAATTTTCAAAGTAGCTTGTGGCTGAGACAATCGTTTTTACTATATCATATTATAGTCCAGTTGAAACACTTGAGAACTGGTGATTCTCGCTCTCTCTCTAAGTGGAAGATAGTTGACTATACTCGTGACCACCTCTACTTGTGTGACAAACATCAGTTACTCATTTTCTTTTTTCTTGTAACATATGAGTCAGTTTGCTTGTCTATATGCAGCGCTTGTTTTAGTTACTTTCTTTCTCTAGCATATATTAAGTATAGTGGTTTCTGTTCTAATTGATTCTTAGGTATAGTGGCTTCCGTTCTAATTGACTATTAAGTATATAAGTCAGTTTGCTTGTCTATATGCAGCACTTGTTTTAGTTACTTTCTTTCTCTAGCATATATTAAGTATAGTGGTTTCCGTTCTAATTGACTCTTACAGCAATTTGTCTTTTAAATGGTTTTTATCTTAATGGATCCTTGACTCAAGGGAAATGCATCATCTTCAAATGACCAGTTCTCTACTAAGATTCCATCTCCTACAGTGAATAGCAATTTTGTCTAAGCTAAAACAGAAAATGATAAACCAAAAATAATGGCATAAAAATCATGTTGGCTAATTTTATCTTGTCCTTTTTTATAGTAGTAATGATGGAAAAATAGGAGATAAGTACCATGCAGCGTATAAGAGGCCAGTTAATTCCACAAAAGAATGCATGTTGCTTGATTTCACTGGCACCTCTGCTTGATCCCAAGCGATTAGCTGGATCTCTGTGCAGTAATCCATGGATTAATTGCCTACCTGTAAGACTCACCTGAAGAATAAAAAAAACAACACAAAAGAGTCATTCTTAGGGCTTTAGCTACTTTATTAATTGAAGAAAATGTAAGAACTACATAAACATTAAATACAACCTATGTTACAAAGACATGGCTACGGGTGTCAGCTCTAATAGGGATACGAATCTCAAAAAAGTCAACCTTAAAATTGGCCTTTCAGACACAATACCTCCATACATCATTTAAAGAAGGGGGTTCTGGGATTTTAAGTGGGATTAGGTATTTTCATGGTGACATTGAACAAAAAAGCTCGAGTGTAAGTGTTTAAGTTTCAAAACATCAGGCACATGTGTCATGTTAATGGTGTCTCGGCATATGCTGAAAATCAAGCACACAAGTGTTCAAGTTAGAATACAACTGATTATATTCTTAGAAGCACTTGCTATCATGTAAATCCATGGGTATGTAGTTTCGGACCTTGTATCTGTGGGCCACTAATGTACAATCAAACAAATGTAATAGTATGTTTGCTAGTTGGGAACTCTCGTCCAAGGATGTCTTTCAACACCACCTATAACTTGACAATGTATTTCAATACACACAATATGTCTTCTCAATGAATAAAGTGATCATTCTCTAAAACAATTTCACTGAGAGTCATGTGAAGTTGATGACCTAAATATTCATCTGTCAATAATACTTTGGATGTACAGTTTCCCTTCAACAATTATTCAGGTATTGATGGTGAAAGGACGATGATTCAAAAGGTTTCAGTTACATATGAAGTCGCAATGACCATTCTTCTAGCCCAACATAAATTACAAAAATACTGAATACAATTTTCTAGCGTCATGATTAATGATGTCAAAGTTAATTCCTCAGGTTGATCATATGCAAGATAAAAATAAATCATCTTGCTGTGCCTTGTAGTAACTAGTGTTAGTGCGCTTCCCATTTATGCTCTCGTGAGGTTTGGTTTGTGTCATATTGTCACATTGGACATAGTTTTGGTGACTCACCCAAAATTAATTGGCAACCTATCTCTCTTCAAATTAGGCCATCTTCATGATATGTCTTTAATTGCACCAGAAATGCATTGATTTTATTGAAAGAATAGTTCTCTTGATAATTTTCTTTAAATTGTCAATGGGCATTTTAAACATTAAGTTCCCCTAGTGTAATCATGCAGTGGAAACAACAGTTTTCCTTTGGAAAATGAAACATTCCAAAAGGCCTGTGTAACAGGTGCTTTGCATAGGGTGATTGGGAAGTTTAAAGTTGATCACCACCGTCCGGGTCCTTTGAGTTCAATACCAATGAACCAGCACGGACATTTCATAACAAAGATATTACCAATTCTAGCAGCAGTCCTGATAATTGAGTCTCCAATACTTGATACATCCTAACTATTCTCTTATCTTTTTTTCCCCTTTTCTAGATATGAACCTTTTCTGTTTTAAAATGCCCTTGAGTGGACCGAATGATTATAAAAAGTGCTGATTGAACAAATCAAACATGATAAGAAAATACAAAAATGAAAGTGACAATGCAATTTGAAAAAAAAAAAAAAAAAACTCTTACTGGGATGCTACTAGGAAATGTAAGGTCCTTGTGCAGTATGTTAGCAAAAGTTTTTTGCCTGTTCTTTCCTCGAAAAGGCGTGCGACCATAGAGCATCTCGTACAGTAAAATACCTGCATTACAGAACCAATTAAGATTACAGGAGCCCTAATTAATGAAAAACTTATTATGGAGCATAAATACATTTTATAGGCTAATGCACCAGGGAACATCGTTTTCTATGACATCTAGATATTGTGAACAAGTTTTCACAGCTTTGATGCATTTGTGATAAGAAGTTTAAAATCTCCTCTGGTTGGCCAATAAAAAATGAAAAATGGATATGTCCAATGCCATGGTTCTTTGAATCACTTGCATTCCTCTGAACTCCCCTATCAGGTCTAGTAACTTGAGAATAAGGTGGAGGAGTTGAAATGCTTCAAACCTCTATTTCTGTGACCATTCTCGGACCAGATTCTCAGATTTGTATAGATTAGTTACTAGATTGCATTTATTTCATAAGGTGCAATAGCTACTGCTAACAACAAAAGACAAGCTACACATGGCTTATTGAGAGAATGTTTCAGTTCTACACTACATTATCTCGTTTTAAGGAAATTTGTTGATCGTTTAACCAGGCTAAATGCAAACCATGCCGCAAACAAGAAGAGGCTATCTTGTTTGAGTCTATTGATATGTGAAATTCTTTCAGAAGAATTCAGTCTCCATGAGAAGTACACTTGCGAATGCAATAGAATGGACATTTACTTCAACAAATAAAATTCGCTTTACAAGAAGATTACTTCACATATAATTGGGAGACAAGAATTGTCAGTGCAAGATCAGTCATGAGGCATATTGTAAAACTTTGTATACAATATAAAGATATTCTTACCCAAAGCCCACCAATCAATGGCACTACTATGACCTGCTCCTGTTATAATTTCCTGTCAAGTGGAAGGTTACAAGAGATATTGAAATTAGAAATGATGATCTATGAAATGAAAGAGAAAAAAATTTCTCAAGAGTCATGCAATATAAGAACTGTAATAAAATATGTTCTTTGTATAGTTCATCAAAAATCATAGAGAGAAAATTACGGGTTATGGCATGCCTTGGCTTATAGTCTTTCATGGTTTGAAAAGATAAATAGAAGGACTGTATTTTGGGACTTCCTAGAATTTAAAGCTTGAGGACTAAATCCAAGGACTGTATTTTGGGACTACTCCGGGAACTCCCACTCACCATACTCACTTAGCCACCGAATACAGAGAAAGTACTGACCTTAAGTTCAGATAGTCATTGGCTTGAACCTCCCTCTATGTGGGCTTGAGACCCTAGAAGGATCCTGAAACTGTACAATGGCACATAGTGCTGGTTTTTCACTCTAACTTGTCTTTTGTGCTGCTGTTTTGATTGTTTTAGAAAATGGGGAACTTGTACAAGCTGGTTCGTGACAATCGTACATCAAATTACAATGAAATTTCGAGTACCAGTCTAGTTGATGTATAAACTTTCAGCTCAAAACTTTTTGTAATTTATAATATATTGATGTATTTGTCATGGCTGCTACAGTGTAATTGCAACTCCCCAAAGTCTCCCTCCTCTAACTCTATCTAGCCCAACAGTTAGGACTGCACCTCAGTAAAGAACAACATCCAATTCTTCCTTGCAACCATAAAAGAACCAGTACAAGAAATGATAACTAAAGTATTCAACTAGAAATGTGATGCATTACCAACTTCAGATTGTTCATGCATTACAATTGCTTTTGAGAAATAAGACCAATATACTACGAAGATTCTAAAACTTATATTCCTAGAGTTCAAGGGAAATAAACTTTCTTTTGATTTATAGTAAGAACAACAGGAAACATTTATATACAAAATATTTCACCACAGATTTCAGCATATCTTTACACATATTAGAAAATAATTATATTGCATGAAGTCCCTCACATTCATTATGTCCATTATGCATGCCATATCAGCACAGTAATGCAAGAGGGGACAAACAAGGGTGTTGAGTCCAATAGAGGCAAGTTGTACAGGTGTCATTTTGGGTTGAGCTGAAACTTGAGAAAGACTGCTAGTCATCGTTTAGCATGATTCAAAGTTTTAAACTAGATTACGTCTGTTGACAATCTTGTCCCAATGAATGGCGACCAACGGCATACAATAACACTAAAAAACTTATATTCGAGCCCGAGAAAGGTCTAAATTCCAGCAGAAGATACTGTATTACTAAAGAGAAATATAAGAAAACAAAAAATTCATAATTAAACTAATGGCAAGTACAATAGAATTATAGAATTACAAAGAGGGGAAAAGGACAAAACAATAATCCCAAACCAAAGAATGCTATCATATGACAAATTACGGTTACAACAAACAACAAGAAGTAACACAAATACAACATTTTCCTCAACGGTCCTCATTGAGTATCTCCCTGTTTATTTTTCAAATCTATCAAACCCTACTGAAACTTGTGCAGGCAAGAGATTCACATTTCCCATATAAGATTTAACTGTTTCTATATAGCAGAATCAGGTAACCATAAAGTTACAAAAAAGTCACAATAGATTCACAACAAATATCCCTTCCAAAAAGCATTAAAGTTCTTGAAATGTGTGATAAGTTAAGACATGACAGATCATGGTTAAGCGTGTCACATCTCAAAAACAATTTGTCGCACATGAACAAGAAGACCCAATATACCGGAGCAATATACTCTTCTGTTCCCACAAATGAATTTGATTGTGAAGTTGGTTCTGCAAAAAATAATGGTGGTTCACGTTTTGAATTTCGCTTCTTTGTACGCAATGCCATTTTTATAATCTGCACAAAGAACATAAAGGAAGTATTATTATGCAATGGAAAAGTGAGAATGATGTAAAAGACAAAATTATGAGCTAAGAAATATTGCAGGAAGAAGTTAACAAAGTAACCAAACAAGGCTCCACTTAAGATTGCATGTCTAGACACCCCAATTCTCATGAATAAAATTGACTTCAATCAAACCTACATAAAGGATGTAACAGCTACATCTTATAAAAGACAAATCGTTTGTATTTCAGTTTCCTTTTACTTATACATTTATTTTAGCCAAAACCCCAAAATCAATAAAACCCTGTCAGACCATGGTGGTTCCCAAGTTACTTGTGCAATAGGATAACACCTCAAAGCAAGGTCTTGAGGCTTTCTTACAGAAAGCCCTCAATCCATATTCCCACGTGCCCATTTTCGTGGTATATTAATCATTCTGCACATTCATGATTTCTTTGTAATCAGCATGCATAATTATGTCTCAAAAGGTTGTAATGTTCCTCTTGTTAATGTATTTCCCGACTTTGGAAAATATATGATACAGACATGAATGGTAAAAATCCTACATGATAGAGACTCTTTCTAGAGAGTGGGGTTTGTATAAGGCTCAGGCCCTACACAATCAAAGTAAGGCGCACCTTGAAATAGTGTCAATATATGTTATTTCAGTATTGGAAATCTTTATGATGGCCTGATGATTTATTTTTATCTTTAGTTATAAAATTTAAAGCTTCAAAAGTAGTGTAGATCGAGCAGATCTATAAACACTTAATCTTGAAAATTGACTGTCCAAAAATGCATTACAAGATGCACTATTTTCAAGACTTGAAATCCAATTTTTCTCATGTCCATACATCTTGGGGTCAAGATGATCAATCTGAGGATTTTGGGCATCAAAACAACCTCTTCTAGTGAATTTTAGAGGTCCAACTTAATTTGATTGTTTAGGGCCTCACCCTTATATAAACTCTTTCCCTTTCTAAAATATAAACTATTCTTTAAGTTTACTTGCAAGCAGCTTTTATTATATAAGGTGGAACTCACACAGTAACAAGAAATGATGATGTATACTTTATGGACAATCATTATTCCTTGAAACTTTATTAGGTAAAAAGTAAATATAACATGGGAGAGGATATTGTTGATAATGATTCTAGCAAGGGTGATGATAGTTGTTACAGCGGGATTCAATTTTGGGAAGCCACATGAGAAACAAACATGGGAAAGACTGCCGTAAACATAAACTTTCAATGGATATTTATACAGGTTGAGGGAAAATACGTTTCAAGTAACAATAATTTAGATGGTTGGGAACATTCATATGGTATAAATGCCTTTCTAACGCCACATCTACAAGGAAAGATACTGACATTTTATTTTTTTTGGTAAATATACTCATGATAATTTCCAATTATAGAGTTGGAGTTGGGACTAGGAGGAGATTCTAGATTTAGAGCCATTTTGTTTCTTATTCACCACATTTTTTAACATTTCAGTATTTTACGGATGGCAAAGTCTACATCCTTTTTCTGATGGAAATGGGAAGAAACAGTCCTTGATCAACAGTACTGAGAATGCTGGAATAATATATGGAGTAGAAATGTTAGTCCTTTCAGTGCGCTCAGGTTGTTCATTGAATAATTAATTAATAACATTTTAGTTGTTGCTTCTTTCGACACCTCAACAAAAATGAAGGTGATACCTTATATAGACAACAGTTTTGCGTAAGATTCCTAAATAAACATGGGAAGGGACACATAAATTTTAAGCATTTAAAATCAGTTTGTCTGCTAAAAGCTTTGGAAGAAAAGGAAAAAAGGTGAAAACATACCTGTGGCTTACAAGATGCCAGAAAAGATAGATCAAAATCTGTCAGTACAACATGTCCATCCCTTTGAAGCATAATGTTTTCAGGCTTGAGGTCTCGATATATCACTCCTGAAATGGCAACAAGAACCAATAGAGCAATTACAAAAGCCAAAAGACTGTATGCTCCTGGGGAGCAGTATCGTGCACTCACTCCTTCAGGTAAAAACCTATATAGGAGTGCTTTTAGGACCCCAACATTTGAGGATTTAACCTCTACAACATAGCAACATACCCCCATAAAATGAAAATAAAAATCATATACACTCTATATATGCCTAAGAAAGAATAATGCCTTGAGATTGAACAATGATCATCCAAGTTTTGAACAGTCGGACCTACGTGTTTAGGAACACATAACCCCCACCCCCCCCCCCACCCCCCCTCCACTTCTTTTTTCTTAAACTACTCATCTGGTCATTCTAAAGTGGATCCCAAATTTTTAGGCCAAAGAAATCCGCTTAAGTACCATTGGGAGTAAGTGTACAGTTGTTCCAGCAGGAGTATGCTATGAACGCTCTTTAAAGAATGGTGAACTCTAGTAATACAACTTTGCACTTTAGGACACACACATATGTACAAACACGTGTGAGGACACACATACAGAATAGTCAAGAACCGAATATGAAGACTAGAGTTCATCAAAGTGTCCCTTATGCAACTAATAGATTCCACTGCTTATCTGCAGGAAGACAATTAATTTTGAATTTTAATATTTCCATTCATTTTGTTTTGATGTTCCAATATTCGTTCAATTCCCCCACCTAATTTAGACATATTTTATCCATCAGAAGAAGTTTCATCTTAAAGAAGTTTCATCTTATAAAAAGTTTAAATCAAATTAATCTCTGGTTACAATGAGAAAAGTCAAATGTACCTTGTCTTTATTATCAATCATGTCCTATGTACTCACGCAACATCAAGGATCTCAACAACAGAGCACTTCTAATGTTTTTAAAATACAAATACCATACTGCATGAGTGTAAGGGATGCAAGTCAAAAACAGGCAGCAAAATTATTAATCCACAAATAAGAGAAAAAGTATTTACTACTAAAAATAGGACCACCTCATTTGGGGAAAGAAAAAAAATACAATGAAAGATTTTTCATGAGGACGCAATCAAATTTGCAGCATGACAGTAAGAGATTGATTTCTTCATGAGTCAATATGTTACGAGTAATAAACAAAAGATAATTTCATGGCACAGATTTAGTTGAAAAGTTAGGAAGAGATACTAACATACCCAAGCAATGAAGATATTCCAAGCCAACTACAACCTCTGCTGCATAAAACCTGTACATGGATACATCTATACTCAAAAAAAACCATAGTTGACACTAGGAACAAGTTTTCTTTATACGTTACAGCTTCATGGAAAATGAGGCGTGCTTCACTGTTTTGAACATATCACTAGTCCAAGAAAGTCATATTAACAAGAGAGTACGTTTACTAGTGTATTACAAGCTGATTCGAAAGGCTTTTATTGGGCCATAACCTAAATCTTCCAAATAGAAGAATATGTTGGCTTTAGCAAGCAAAGGTTGTGGTATTCACCATGTGGCCAAGAGGTAAAGAGTGCTTCATATCAATGATCAAATTTCATGCTTGAAGCCATAGCTTAAGAGAAAAGCTACCGATAGTTTCACTGAAATATATATAATTTGGGAAGCTTGAAAAACCAATAACAGATTGCAGTTACCATTAATTGGTAAGCTAGCTATCTGCAACATTTGGCTGAACCTTTGGAGTTCGGATTACATACAAAGAAAAGAAAACACATGTTATGGAAACTTTTGAAAAGTACCTTACAGATTCTTCTTTCAAAATCTTCATAGGCTGCTTATCAAGCATTGCAAATAGCTCACCACCAGGGCAAAAGTCTGTTATTAAACATACATGTGTTGCAGTCTGGACATAGAAAAAAGCATTTTAAAGGATAATATAGAGTGGGTATATTAATGATTGCTAAGGCTCCCAATGAAAAGGGAAAAAGAATATGCTGATATAGGAATCTCAACAATTAGAAACATAAAAATGTAAAACACAAAACTTTGGCATAATCAATGATAAACCAAAAAACCAATGAACGAATCACGTGAGGGTAGCCATACAAAGCTGACAATCAGGAAGCAAGCCAAGGTTGCTGTGCACTTGCATTTGGATTAGCACCAGCAATTCCTTTGTATGAATACAACCTCAGAAACACAAAGAGAGATTGAATTGACATGCACCAAAAAACATTAGGAGATCCAAAATATAAATGTCATTAACGGTCCAACAAGTACCAAGAAAGTATATGGAGCAAATAAATGCCTTTAGAAGTCACAAAGTTGTCCACTATCATTAACAATGGGTAGTGTGATTGACATATAATGAACTCCAATTATGGATTGAGCATGGAGTTCATAATATTTGTTCTAAATCAACCAGGCTAGCAGTATGAAGTTTCACATTGCAAGCCACTCTACTAAATATGTTTCAATATCAGAAAATGGATTTAAGAAGTAAGAAGAACGTGGTAGTTATTATGTGTTGTATTTAGTTTTCTCCGATACACCATCAATGTTATAAACAAATGAATGATCAACTAATACACAAGTTTAATATCTATCCTAATATAATCACTAAATAATGCAATGAAACTTCAGTAAGAAATAAGCCAACCTCAAATGAGGTGTACAGTGTTGGAAGGAATGGATGATCCAATAGTGACATTATCTCCCTTTCCATGCATGCTCGATGGACCTGCTTAAATGGAAACTTCTAGTTTTAAAGGCATACAAGTGATTTTTACACTTCCCATCTTTCCAGAAGACAATAGTACTAATAATAAATACTATAGAACAATGCATAATTTGAAGAGCACTTTCCACAAAACAATACAATAAAACAAAACATAATTTATAAGTCAAATTTCATAAGGCGAAAATAAAACTATGAGAAGATGTCAATTTTGCCAGATGATGTTTAAGCCTTCTTATGACAAAATGTAAAAATAACTATTTTAGAAGTATGAAAATTTTCCAAGTGAGAAGGGGGACACTCAAGAACTTGGGAGGACCTTATTCTCTAGACTTTTTTAAAGGAAAACATTTTATACAAATGCGAGGCTCTAAATAATCAAATTAGGGTGAACCTTAAAAATTTCACTAGAAGAGATCATCAAGATGCATGGACATGAGAAAAAAATGGATTTCAAGTTTTGGAAATAGTGCATCTTGTAATGCATTTTTGGATCATCAACTTTCAAGATTTTCAAGTTTTCATAGATCTGCTCGATCTACATTATTTTTGAAGATTTAAATTTTATAATTAGAGATGAAAATATATTTTAAGGCCATCACAAAGATTTCTAGCATTGAAACCACATTTTTAGACATTATTTGGAGGTGCATTTTACTTTGATTGTTTAGAGCCTCAGCCTCAAACGAACCGACCCTTTTTAAATCATATTTATGTATCACCAGCTTTGTCTATGACATTATAACCAAAGAAGTTAATACTTTTGCGCATATTCATCATTGCAAAGCCATTTCCACAACAATTTTTAGAAGCATCTTAGTTGTGTTTCTAATGAATGTCGCCAGGAAATTCCTTTAAAGCTGCATATGCATGCACTATGATGGTTATCAGCTTATATTCTTGTTTTGCTGTTATTAGTTTCCCACTTCCATCATTGTTGAGCCACAAGCTACTCAAAAATCAAAACTGATGAGGACAAGGATCACAATTCTGAAGACAAGGTATGGACAAGAATAAGGATATCTGTGCCAATGTCTGGAATCTCAAGGATTCAACTCAAATCTTGGTTACACTGGCCTTGTATTGAAATGAATCTAGTAAGGCTCATGTTCATAATAATTTAGTGATAAGAATTGACTGAGTCCATGAAGCTAAGTTTGTGCACGTGGACTAATTTAAACAAAATTATGGTCTTTTTTACATTAAGTGGGAATTGGGGACTTTGAGTCACTCTAATCTCATTTGGCTATATTTTTTGTGATGTTAAGAGATTAAAATCCCCAAGTAATTGCATATTAACATCCATGATAAAGAACTTATGACCATTTCTAGGCTTTGAAGCTCCACAAACTTTAAATTTGAATATAAAAGCCAATAGGATTATCCCTTCCCAAGATTTATGGTAGATTGGGTCAAATATTCCTGTTGTAAAGATTTTGGAGCTAAGCTTACTTTTTGCCTTAATCCATGTTATGGATAACTATGCAAAGAACAGTTATTAGTGAGTTTTTTCTTAGTAGTAAATCTGTGTAATTTTTTATCAGTCTATTACTTTTTAAGGGTGAAATTCTGTGCTCTGTCAATTATTGTACAAATCTTTTATGCTACAGATATATGGGTAAAAACTACAAATTTTGCAATTACTTATGTCACTGTAATGGTAATATGGACTTTCCTTTCACACTACATGCAACTCAATAAGGCATTTTACCACTACAACATTAACTGTCACTGTAATGGTAATATGTACTTTCCTTTTGAACTACATGCAACTCAATAAGGCATTTTACCACTATAGCACATAGGTGCTCTTAGAAGGAGCTGTGAGGTGGTTTGTCATTTTATTTGATCAACATCATTGGATATCCATCGTCAGTCCAACAACTATAACTCAAATTGGATGGAGAAAATAAAGTGAAAGTTGATACCAATATTTTGCATGTCAATTTTCCATTTTCAATAGATTATGCCAGGCTACTCTAATTATACAATGGTGTTCAGATTTGGGCTTGATAAAAAGGAAAAAAGTAAAGAATCTTCTCTAGTAGGTGCTTTTGTCAATGTGAGAAAACATAATCTGACTTCATCCATTCCCGAAAATCATAGGGTTGAAAAGCTACCTCATGCAAAGAGTATAATGTGCACGTCCGAAGAATAGAAGCAATATTGAAAGCTGAAAAGTAAATAAAGAGAAGTTCTTATGGTCCATACCTTGTTACGATTCAACATAATAGACTTATCCATTGCTTTCATGGCAAAAGTTTCACCCGTACCTCGTAATTCCACAAGATGGACACTGCAGTTAAAAATTATTTTAAAGAGAACTCCTAAATCATAAAAGGATTAATAGGAAATTGCATACACTTTGAGTATGATCTATTTAAAATGAATTATGAACAGAAGTTTACTCGTTCTTTACAATTTTGCACTTCTATGATTATCCAACTGAGGGTATTCCTGTACTTGTATACATTCGGTTTACTATTTAAGATATGGACAAAAGAGGCCAACAGCTCTCTCACCCAAAATCAGATGTAACATGTAGCAAAGTACAAAATGTAGAAAAGTAATAAACTTAAAAAATAGTTTCTAAAGCTTATGGTCCCAAACAAATTTGCTCATCCACATAAAAGCCATGCACAAAGGACAAGAACTGCTGGTGTGCAGGACAGCTAATGAGAGACATTATGCTCTAGCATCAGGTTTGAATACATTGGGCTTGAACTCAATTATCCTCTCAATGTATACATGATATATGTTCCTTGGTTCAGAAGTTCTGACCACTTTGCCACATGAATGAGGATTAAGATCTTAATATGAATTGAAGTATGATTCTCATGGTACCCAAAGAAAGTTGAGTAGTACTAGCTTACTTAACCTTGCATCGTTTACATCACCCACATCATGGAGAGTCAAACAAGTTTTACTACTAAGAATACAAAACTATCAAAATTTATGTCTAACTCCACCTAAAATGGAATATAGAGGTTGTGTCAGTTTTGGGACTTGCTCATGTAGTAAAGTTAGGTTTCCCCCTGCTGTCATTCTGTTGCCAACTTCCAAAACAGGCTCGCCCTTCTTCCATCTAGCCTCCATATTAGTGGAGAAAATGTGGCATCCGATAAAAAATAAAATAAAACAGGTAACTATCTTAAACACTTTATGAGATGAAATTGTAAATGGGATTGAGATACCTTTCTGCATTCAAATCCATTTGCTTTACACTAACAAACGGAAAATCTTGAACTAGTCACTGACAATTTCTAATTATTAATTACAATTAGATTCTTAAACACTATATGAGATGAAATTGTCAATGGGATTGAGATACCTTTCTGCATTCAAATCCATTTGCTTTATACTAATATACAGAAAATCTTGAACTAGTCACTGACAATTTCTAATTATTAATCACAATTAGATATAGCACTAACAGACAGAATAAAATGAGGAAACCACAGAAGAAGGTTTGTAAGATCCTAGAGAATGCATGTAATGCTCTCCTATTTTGCACACAATAAAAAATCAACAAGGACATCTATGCTTATTATCTACATAATATAATAACAATAAATACCTGCCCGTGTCACCACTTCCTAAAGGTTTTATGGGCTTGAAATGCTTCAGAGAAATTCGCTCACCACTTTCAGTAATCTACACAATGATTTAAATGCTTGGTAAAATATGATATAACCAAATGACATTTAACATACACTAAACACCATCACATGACATATAGTATACACCATCAAACATAATAAATTAAATATTATGATTCAGAGTAACAAATAACATATAGAAAGTAGGTGGCTTTTGGTATAAATTTTCACCATGAAAGTCCTTCATATTTTGGAACAACTAGCATTTGTTTACCAAAATCACCTTTTGTATTGCCCTCCATGAAGGGCTATTCCTTTTATGAGGCTTAGGAAGCACAGGTTTAGAATGGATCGCCCATAAATCCTCAGGTCTCTACAAAAAATGAAATCACATTCACATCAAAGGCCATACAATAGATGACAAAATCCCATTATGGAAGACACACAAGTTACACATATAGCTACTTATCTAGACCTCACGTTGATGCAAGCAGTGACACATACACAGCATACATAGTTTAAAATTTAATGTGCAAAGCTAATATAAAGACACAAAATACAGCCACTTGCTTATGCATTGGATAAATCAGTGACTTTCTCAAGTAAACAATATGTAACACTACAGCAAAAAAATTATAAGATCAACAAACTAAAGAACCAGTATGATTCTAAGTAACAAATCAAGGGCCTCTTACTGGCCATTTTCTATTGTTGATTATAGGTAAATGTGGTTTAAACCAGTGTTCAAAAAACGAGTCGAGCCAACAAGTCGGTCATGGCCCAACCCGTTTAGTTGGACCGACTCCGACTTAGTTGGCCGACTAGTGCCGAGTTTATACTGCAAAACAAAATGGGGGTAAAAAACCCTAAAAAAACATAAAAAATTGCAAAACATGTTTAAAATTTATATGTATTTTTTTATATTGTCACAAAATAAAAAGACAAAAAAATATTATAGTAATAATTGGGTTCCAGATAAAAATTTTAAGCACCTGAAGCAATACTTTTTTTGGAGATTTAAATTCACATCGCATTTCTTCGAGAGTAATATACATAGAAGAAATTTTTTATACTAAAAATCTAATTTTAGACACTGAAAGATAGAGAGAGAGTCAAGGAGAGAGTGATAGGGGGAGAGAAAGAGAGAGAGAGAGAGAGAGAGAGAGAGGTAGGGTAGGTACAGACCGACCACTACAGTAGAGAGAGAGAGAGAGAAGAGTAGAGAGAGAGAGGTACACGTCCGTCGACCCACAGCGAGAGAGAGAGAGGTTGGGCAGGCCCTCGCCCAACAGATATATATATATATATATATATATATATTTGCGTGCCTCTGTAGGCAAGCGATCACCGGAGTATAGCACAAAATCGCCTTTTCTTGCTGCCTTGGGGTCAACCTGTGAACAAGGTAAACCCAATGGGAACCAAAAAACGGGAGGGTACCGCATTGGGCAGAAGACGATCCAAAAAGCGAAGGCTCACCCACCCAGGTGAGATAGGCGATAGGGATCTGTACGGCTTCCAAGCCGATAGGTTAGGGCCGGGCGTAGAAGCGAGTCGCCAGAAGCTGCTACCACAAGTAGCTTGCTTCCAAGCCGGCTCGGCCGCGAGGAATGAATAAATGAGAGAGAGAGAGAGAGGTTGAGGTTGGGGCACACAGCCCCAACCAGATAGAGAGATGGGCTCCTTGCCCCAACCCATGAGAGAGAGAGGTGGAGAGAGACTTACTGTGAGGAGGAAAGAGAGAGGGACCGGCCTGGAAAGATAATAGAGGCCTGCAAAAAGGTTGCACTGTAACAGTGCATAAATCCACCGATCTTTACAACAAATCACTGATTTGGGCCGATTTGTATAGTAAATCGGCCAATTAGTGCATTGTATAAAAATTTCCCAATATATAACCTATAGAATCGGGCAAACTCGGGATCGGCTGGTGACCCGCTCCTAGTTAGTTGGCCGATATTTTAGAAATCGGCCGACTTTTTAACACTGCTTTAAACTAAAAACAAGCAGCTAAGAGGAAAAGGTTTTAAAACATTGACAGACATGAGCACATAAATATTACTACAATGTCCAAAAACATAAAACCAAAACAAGAGGAAAAAGTGTACCTTACCAAGTTGGCATCAGGAAGCTCTCGAACAGCTCCATCGACGCTCTCTGCAGTAGCTTTGACCTGGGAACATAGCAGTGATAACGTAAATGCAAAAATTTGTTCAATTTTGATGGTTGCTTTACTCTTTTGACGTTTGATGCTAACTTCAGCTCCACAATAAGCACAAACATAATCTCCAAAAGAGCATCATATAGTGTTATTTTAGCTACAAAATCTGCCAGATCATAGCCCTAGAACATAATTCTATAATTACAATGTGATGTATGAAACTGCAACGCATGCATTGTAACAAGTAAACTATCAGCAGAGGAAAAAAACTTATTTGGAATACCAATTTAGCACTTTCAAGCTCCGTTGTCTCAGAAAGGCGGTTTTGAAGGGGCTCCAAATGATCACTTCCATCCAATTGAACACCGATAAAGTATTGAAGCTCCCCCTAATGAAATCATGTGAACTACATCAACAGATGCCTAAATGGCGTACAACAAATAAAGAACTAAATAAAGTGATCAGATAGGGATCATGGTATGCCACCTTTTGGTCACGCATTGGTTGCAAGTGAAACAGATTCCAGAATTTCTTCCCTACAAGAACCATATCAATCATTTCAATATGTAAGGAAATTATTTAGGATAGGACATGATGCTTCAACCATGGTTGACTAAATATATCAGCGCACTACAAAAGAGAAGACCCATCCACTTATTTATCCAAAATAGAAAAGAGGAAAATATATATATATATATATAATATATATATATATATATATATATATCCACTCCTCTACTAGTAGTAGTACAATAACAAC